TTCTTTCAGCCATGATCCAAACCCCATGAACACTGGTAAGGGTTGGGGCATAGACAGATATGTATACAGTATGCATATATGTAGGTAGATTTTAATACCTTGGAATACTTTTTCATTCAAATTCATCCCACTGCATCGTTATATTCTACCATGTTGTTGTTTACTATCTCTCTTTAGGACGTTTTAAATATTATAATTACTTTTTTCTCTTTTGGTACTTTATTATTGTACCCTTATTACATGCTTTTAGTTGTTCTTGTTAGTTTGTTGTTAGATTTTTTTAGTGAGTCAAATCTGTTCTTCTCATCCTGAACATTTCATTGTACTGTGGACCCTGTGTTAACCTGCGTATGACAAATAAACACAAGCTGAACTTGAACCCATCACACCTGGGATACATTCAGGTGGAGCAGTGGGCAGCTATTTAAAGCACCTGGGGAGCAAGTGGGGATAATACACAGTCAACCCACTCTTTTATAATAATAATAAAAAGAGTGGGTTTACACAAAACACTGTAGTTTCCATGTCAGTCGGGTTGCCAGATAAGAAATGATGAGCTGTAGCTTTATAAATGATAGTATTTTGAGCTAAACTGTCACATGTGCTGAGTACAGATATTCTAAGATGAGGTGTGTGTTGTGTTTGTTGAACATGTGCACAGAAAAGGAGGGGGGTAAATAAGACATTTAAATTCATCTGGCAACCCTGATGCAGGGCTCAGCTGTTTTGCTCCTACTTGCTGAAAAAGGGTGAGCAGCCCAAAAACTCTCTGCTCTCTGATATTTATTATAACTGATGTTAAAGGAGACAAGCTTTGGACTGCAGCCGCCTGGAGTGTGCATGTGTCCATTTTTCACACCTCTGTGGGGGCTCCCCTGAAAACCTCCACTCTGAGACCTGGACTCAGAAACCTTGAGTTTCAGAGAGGCTGTTGTCTGTAAATGAACGTTTCACGTCGTGTAAACGGGGCCTCAGACTGGCTGCCCTGTCCGTCAATCAAGAGGCTCATTTCACAGATGATGATGGACTGACGTCTGGTTGTTAATGCCATGTCATCTACCCAGAATACCTCCGAGATGGACCAGTACTGGGCACCCCTGCTCTAACTCATTGTGGTACATGTGAAGCTGTGCACAGTTTTTACATCACATCTTATTTCCTGCTAAAAGCTGAGAGTAGGCAGCAGCGCGACACTCTTGTGTCTTTGTGCAGCACAAAGTCCACACGGTAAAAATAAAGTGCTCCAGGTTCCTCCTGCTCTCACGATGATCTCCAGCTGCCTCTGTGTCACGGCAGGTTTGCTCAGAGAGGCTGCAGAGCCAAACGGGACGTGTCACGTCGTTTGAGATGGCATGAAGCAGAGCCCAAACACTGCTGAACTGATCCCTCTCAGCCAGACAAAGGTGGACCAGGTGCTGCTGGAGATCGGGTTGGCTTCAGGTCAGTGAAAGAGCTCAGCTCCACTTATTATTTAATCCCTGCACCAACTGATAAATTCATTATCCCAAAATCCAATTATTCCCTTTTCCTTTAATCCCTTCCACCAACACTCCTCTGTGAGTGCCGGTGCCCCCCCCCCCGGCTGTCTGTGTACAGAACACCTGCTGGCTCACGGCTCGAGAAACACAGTACAAGAACTGGTCTACTCACGTTCACAAGTGTCTCCTTTCTGGTGGAATCCAGCTTTGCAAATACATTTCCCAATGGGCACGAGCCACTCCCCGTCCGTGCTGCAGTGCATCTTGGGAGAGTTTTCGGCCTCCTCCTCGGCGTTGATCACACACGTGCCCTCCACCTCCACCAGCGAGGAGAACTCTGAGCCCGTGGTGGTGTCTGGAAACGTGGCCAGGTTCTCGATGATGGACCAGCACTTCTTGTAGTACACTTTGACGGAGACCAGCGCGATGCACGCCCCCACATCCTGGAAGGCCAGGTAGAAGCCCCGCCGGGTCACCGAGTCTATCACGCGCACCTCGGTGTTCAGCTTCATCTTCCTCTCGCCCAGATCGCCCTGGGTGAAGCTCTCGTCTGCAGCGATCGTGTCAATTTTCACATACTGGTCCTCGGTCAGGCCCCGGCCCGTCTCCGAGTCGGTCTCCTGGTAGTACAGGTTAAAGGTCTCCTTGCAGGCGCCCACCACACCAGGCAGGCTGTTACAATCCCTCAAGGTGAACTTCAGCTCCACAAAAATCCTGCGAGCATCGCCCTTCTCTATCCAGTTAGTCCGCAGCCAGTTGTTCTGGTTGGGCTCCATGACCTGGCAGACCTGGTACGTACGGATTGGGGTGTAGTTCTCATCCAGGCCGCTGATCTCTTCCCACTAAAAACAGACAGAGGGTTTTAAAAACACGTCCAGAGGAACGCCTGTCCACCTGACCGTCAGTAAACCACACACAGCCATAATGTCCGTTATGATCATCTGTCAACATCAGGTCTTTTTGATCCTTTAGCACTAAATCGTTACGACAGAAGCAGCTATGCAGCGTTAGCATGCAGCGGTAGCATGCACTGTTTTAGCTGCAGGTTTAAACTGTCGGCTTGCAGTGATCCCAGACGTAAAGGCTCTCCAGCGTTTAACAGAAGAGAGGACAAGAACGGTGCTTTGTTCTCTCTGCAGCTTCTAACTAGCAGCTAACAGCAGCAGGTCAATGCAGGAAAAACCAAAACAGCTGAAGTTTATTTTGGCTGCTAATTGTCCTCTGTGAAGTCACACAGATTGTCTGTCGGCCTTTTAGGACAATAATGTTTGGAGGAAGCTTCTACACGAGAATCTGGGCTCAGAGTCGACTGATCAATGCTGTTCTGAACAGGTGTTGTGTGGAGTTTTGTTCTCCACTGAGACCTGCCCCCCCACCCACGTTCTTCCTAACCTCTGTTGTTCTGAGCAGCAGGATTTTACCTCCAGCGCTGAAAGAAAAGATCTGGAGCTGCTTGTTTTGGTTTGATGGGTGAGAGGCGTTATTAGTGGGGGAACACAATTCATCACAAAACAAACACCAGTGTGTGTATCTTTGTGTTCCTGTTTAAAACATATTTAAATATTCGTTCTTCCTCTTCTTCTTCTTTCGGCTGCTCCCTTCATCTGGGGTCACCACAGTGAACTAACTCGCACGAAGACTTGGTGATTCCTGACACAACCACAGCCCTGTGTGTGGAGCAGAGAGCTGCTGTGTAGGGCACCCAGGGGAGCAGATGGTGGGCGGTTAAGTGCCTTGCTCAAGGGCTCAGGGTGGGGCAAATGAGGGTGGAGGCAGGTGTAGGTGTTCCACCTTTCCCACCCACATTTTGATGTTGTCACTTTTGATGACATGTTTTCTGACATGACTCATGACTCCTGACATGACTCATGACTCCTGACATGACTCCTGACTCCTGTTGTGACTCCTGACATGACTCCTGACATGACTCATGACTCCTGACATGACTCATGACTCCTGACATGACTCCTGACATGACTCATGACTCCTGACATGACTCATGACTCCTGACATGACTCATGACTCCTGACATGACTCATGACTCCTGACTCCTGTTGTGACTCCTGACATGACTCCTGACATGACTCATAAC